TAATTTAAGTCATACTTATGACATAACTAAATTGGGTTAATGCATGATGAGGAAAGGTGCTTGACATCAGAGAGCTAAACCATCACCTACGATAACAAGAAATAAATAGGTGATGTCTAAATTTGATAAGTTAGGAAATAAAACTTTAAGACTATATTTTTTAAATATTATTTTTAAATACCTAGAAAAAATGAATGTTTGTAAATGTTTGTCTCTGGGAAGAAGGTCTAGTAGGTTGTGTTAAAATATGAGTGTGCTCTTAGTTATCATTAAAAGTCATTTAGGAAAGATAAATATCACATGATCTCACTCAAAGTCCAGACCTATGAGGGAAGGCGGGGGAAGAGGGGGAAGAAATCAACCAAAGGTCTTGTATGCATGCATATGAGCATAACCAATGGACACAGACTGTGGGGGTGGAGGAGGGCATGTGCTGGGGGGTAGGGACTGCTCGGGAGAGGTCAATGGGGAAAAAGGAGACTTATGTAATACTTTTAACAAAGAATTTTTTAAAAAATCATTTAGTTTTACTTGATTTCTCAACTATGTGCATTTATATTATTAACAGAAATAAAAATTAATTTCAAATAAAATGAAGAAAAATGTAATTGCAAAGTGTAAGGAAGCAGTAGAAACAAGATTAATTTATGTAGGTTGGGGATGTTGGGAAATTATTCTTAGTTACATAATATTTGATTTGTTTTCTGCAAGGAGATTCAGCATTTACTTGATAGCAAAAGAGAAATAAAGGCAATTCAGCAGAGAAAATATTATGTAAGCTGGTCTTTACCATTCAAATAAGTAATTTTATTGAGTTATGGGAATACCTGAGTTGTGAACATAATTTTACATTCAATTATCTCTGACATTTCCAGACTACTTACATAAGATTTAAATCTCTATACAAAGAAATGCATAAAGATGACTTAAACTTAATTCTTTGTATCCTTGTCTCATGGGTGTCACATAGATTTGCCAATGCCTTTGCTTTTCTGATATCTAGTATTTTAATTTTCATTGTTCACCAGAGAACAAAAAGAATTTTAAAAAGAATTACATGTGGATTGCCATAAAGAATGTTCACATTCTTGTATAGACAGTAAGTCTTTAATATATGCAAGCATATATTTTCTTATAAGCAGATGTTGACATTACAAAATAACAAGTAATTAAACACAGATGGTGTGGTTGACATATTGAAAATGTTTAAAAGAGAATTAGCACTTAGCAGAAGAGCAGATTTCTTTTTTCAGATAAGATTATTTTGGCTTTAATATTTCAGATTTCTTTTTCACTTAATACCTTCTTGGAAAAGGCATGCTCTGAGCCAGTATGAAAATAATAATGCACTAAATAGGAATTATAGATATAAAGCGATTTTTAAAGGAATGATGCTACCTAGCATAAGTAAAAATTATAGCTAATACTATATTATGTATGAATTACATTTATATATTCTATCTATTATTCCCAATTTTTATTGTGGTGATATTATTATATTTTTTTTGTTACTCATTGAGCAATTAAGCTTAAACTTGCTGCTTTGATAGCATAGTATTCCTGATAATTGTAGTGAATGAGACCTACATCATTCTATTGATGTTTCCTGTAGAAAGGGTGTCTAACTACTTAAAGAAATTATAAATGATAGTAAGTGAGGAAGAAATTGGGGGAACAGTACTCTTAATTTTTAGATAGGAGATGGATAATGATTTCAAATTAACATTTTTTATAACAAAATAATGTTAACTTTTATTTTTTAAATATAACACTAAGACGTCTACACCATGTTCACAGCTTAGACTAAAAATATTAAATGTATTTGAAGTTTGGTTTTTTCTATCTCTCTATATAAAAGAGAAAAGAGGGCAGGCACTATCTCAAATTTCTGGTCTGTGCCCAATTTTTTATGTTTTAAAACATAAAAGATCTTGAATTATTTTATCCCCCCAAATCATCTCTTCTACACAAAGCTTTTCCCATTGACTTCAAAATTGGAATCACAGAAGTACATATTAACATAGAAATTAATGAAAAATAGATTCAAATTTTGGAATGAGCTTAGTGAATTGAAAGATAACTAGTAGAAATAGTAGATCAGGTGGGCTGACAGGTCATTTGAGTTTCTATTATATTAAGTAAAATGTAAAGATGAGCATATTTTCTGTTATGGATACGAAAATTTTCAGATGGTGGAAATGCACATTCGCAAGAGGGGAAAGAAGGAAACATTAACTTCTTATAATAAAATGTTACTATGACTTAATGAAGCAGAAAGAATACTTTACTCTTGGAATCTCATGCTAAATCTCAGGATACACAAGGGCTTTGGTGACAGCAGTTCTTAATAATTCTCACAGAGAATTTTTTAAAAATTAAAGACCCTCGCCAGAACCGGTTTGGCTCAGTGGATAGAGTGACGGCCTGCAGACTCAAGAGTCCCGGGTTCGATTCTGGTCAGGGGCATGTACCTTGGTTGGGGGCACATCCCCAGTGGGGGGCGTGCAGGAGGCAGCTGATCAATGTTTCTCTCTCATTGATGTTTCTGGCTCTCTATCCCTCTCCCTTCCTCTCTGTAAAAAATCAATAAAATATATTTTTTTAAAAAATTAAAGACCCTAGACGAGTTAGATAACTCTGGTATTGTCTTTCTGAGTACATGTTAATTCTTGGAAAAGAGTATGATTCATATAAATCTCTTCAGAGGCAAGAGGAGAGTATAGAAGATTTATTTTGGGGACCTTTGAGTTTTATTCTTTCTATACATTTCTAAATTATCTTTTAACTCTAGGATAGAGCATTACTGATTAGCTTAATTTATTAAATATTTATTGAACATGTTAAATAGTTTCAGGAAGGAAAAAATGTTACTCTATTTGCCGAGCCAGCTCAGCCAAGGGTTTGAAAGCCTGAGTGAGGGGGGCGAAAAGATGAAGAAATGACAGACAAAGAGAATAAGCTGGGTCTAGGTGGATCTTCCTGTGCCTGGCTGAGGCCACAGAGAGCGATCCAGAGGCAAGCTGAGCTTTTATTTTATAGTCAGAGGTATACAAGGTAGTGGTCACCATAGTTACAATGTTCTTGTGAGTTTCACTTGTTTTGGCAGCACTTGCTGCACCTCCCACAGCCCATTAGCTCCCCAGATAAGATCTAGGAAGTGTCATAAGGTCAAGCCTAATTATGCTAAGAGGACTGTGCCCTCTAAGCTGGGACTTGCTTGTGGCTTTGCCAACAGGTCAGTCTGAGGCTTATCCCTATAGCTGCATCCTACATTTCACCCTTTTTTTATTTTTAAGCTACTATAATGAAAGTAAAACTTAAGCATCAAGAACAAAACTCTGGCTATTAAAACAATAACAAAACAATGCCAGTGCAAAACCCAAACTACAGACATGTTAACATTTTAAAACTTAAACATAAAGCTCTGGCTATTAACAAAACAATGCCAATGTTTTAACATTTTAAAACTAGTAAGAATAACAAAACAATGCCAAAGCAAAACAGCAATAAGTGAGTTTCTACTCAATTAAAAGTTTCTTTTGCTGATTTACTCAGAGTCCTCGAAATTGGCTGTGCAAGACTTTGCAGATGACTGGCAGCTAACCAATGCTAGCATAGCCAGAAACATGGTTGAGGGAGTAGCTTCCACATCTTGCTTTTCTACCGTCTGCTGGGCCTCAGCTAACTTCTTCAGCTGACCCCCTTTTGGCACCTCCGTCCCTTGCCTAGTCTTTGTTTCTCCTTTTTCTGCTTTTCTGTCATCGGGGCAACTCCCAGTCTTTTGAACAATGGGACAAGGAGCTTCTCTGGGTCCACTGTGGTGACGCACATAACACTCTTGCACCCAAACTGGCTGCGTTGCTCCTTCTGGAAAGATAGAAACACAACCTCTTCCCCACGTCATTACTAGATCTGGTAAAACTCTTGTCAGGTTTGTGCATCCTTCCACGGGGCTATGTCGGCAGAGGCTATTGTCCAGGAGGCCTTATGCCTTTCAGCTGCTGTACAACTCTCTGCATTGCAGTTCAAAAAGTTTAACACATAAACATCCTTCAGTTTAACAGATAACATTCTTCAATTTAACAGATAACGTTTTCTCCCCTTTTTGTTGCTTTTATAGTTGCATTTTAATTGTAGGATTGGTGCTTTCTGCGATTGCCTGAGTCCTGATCTATCACCCCAGGAAGAACTTGCTAATCCTGTGCTTCCCGGGGTGGCATGATAAAGGTTTACTGAGCCGACTGGAAAGGCTGCAGTGGGGTTAAGGATAAGGCCCCTACTGTTTGGTGGGACCAGCCCTGCTTGTGTTGTGCCCAGATTTCAAGATTCCCAAGAACCCACAGGGAGCCAGCGAGTCCGATGCAAAAGCAAAGGGTCCCTCATTTGGAACTAGTTCGGCTCCCCGACCACACTCACCGATGCAACAACGGTAAGCCCAGTGGCAAGCTCAGCCTTTATTTTGTAGCCAGAGGTAAACAAGGTAGTGGTTACCATAGTTACACTTTTCTTGTGAGTTTCACTTGTTTTGGCAGCACTTGCTGCACCTCCCACAGCCCATTAGCTCCCCAGATAAGATCTAGGAAGTGTCATAAGGTCAAGCCTAATTATGCTAAGAGGACTGTGCCCTCTAAGCTGGGACTTGTTTGTAGCTTTGCCAACAGGTCAGTCCGAGGCTTAACCCTATAGCCACGCCCTACAACTGTACATTTTGGCTTGTCTAACAAATTAAATCAACATGAGACAGATTAACAAGAGAAAATAACCAAACTTAATTACACACATATATGGGAACCCCACAAACATGAATGATTCTGAGAAATTCAAAATGAGGTATGTGACACCCTGAAAATAGGAATGAGGTAAGGCACCTGAGATTTTAGAGGGGAAGAGGGAAATTTATTTGTAGGATGATAGGAAGAGCAGATGTTCAGTAATTAGTGCTTCCCCTGCCTTATAGATAGGTCATAAAAAATTACTTCTGGATCGCTTCCGGAGCGGGACGCGGTGAGCTGGGTCTCGCTGCGCTTCAGCTCCCTCTCGGTCTGCATCTTGGCCCTCACTACCGCCATGAGCTTCCTCAAGAGTTTCCCGCCACCCGGGTCGGCTGAGGGGCTCCGGCAGCAGCAGCCCGATACCGAGGCGGTGCTGAACGGGAAGGGCCTGGGCACCGGCACTCTTTACATCGCTGAGAGCCGCCTGTCTTGGTTAGATGGCTCTGGATTGGGATTCTCACTGGAATACCCCACCATTAGTTTGCATGCAGTGTCCAGGGACCTAAATGCCTATCCACGAGAGCATTTATATGTTATGGTGAATGCCAAGTTTGAAGAAGAATCAAAAGAATCTGTTACTGATGAAGAAGAGGAAGACAGTGATGATGATGTTGAACCTATTGCTGAATTTAGATTTGTTCCTAGTGATAAATCAGCTTTGGAGGCAATGTTCACTGCAATGTGTGAATGCCAGGCTTTGCATCCAGATCCTGAGGATGAAGATTCAGATGATTATGATGGAGAAGAATATGATGTGGAAGCACATGAACAAGGGCAGGGGGACATCCCTACATTTTACACCTATGAAGAAGGATTATCCCACTTAACCGCCGAAGGCCAGGCCACATTGGAGAGATTAGAAGGAATGCTTTCTCAGTCTGTGAGCAGCCAGTATAACATGGCTGGCGTCCGGACAGAAGATTCAATAAGAGATTATGAAGATGGGATGGAGGTAGACACTACACCCACGGTTGCTGGACAGTTTGAGGATGCAGATGTTGATCACTGAAAATGATTTTATGTTGCTTTGGGATTCTGCTCATAACTGTAGGAGAGAACTTGGTGCCTTTTCCTCTGTGGAGTGGGTGTTGATGAAAATATTTTTCCTTCTCCAAAACTTCCTGAACCAGTTCTTTCTTGAGACAGACTGTATAAGACAACAAGTTGTCACCAGCAGAAGAAACTATGACCTTTATTAACCAAGGTGAATTTACTTAACCAAGAGGGTATTTGTAGTTTATCTTTTATCCCCAAATTTTCTGTGTCTAGGTACCTTCTGAGTAGGCCTATAATTCCTGCCTTCAGTGTATGTATCTTCCGTAACCTAGCAGGGGTATGTGGTGAAAATGCACGGGCACTTAGGGGATGGAAGAGAGGCTGAATCTAAGACCCCTTTAGGGCCTAAGGACACCCTTACCCTTAAAAAAGAAAGACTAAGATCTCAGATGAATCAGGCCTCTGCTCGTTCTCCACAGGGGTAAGGATCTTTTTACTATTGGGACCCAGATTAATTCATTCAGGCATCTCTAGGGAGCCTTTTTGGAAACATCCCAGCCACACATACTAACACGAGTGCTGCTTCTGACTAGCTTTGCTCCTTTCACCGTGTTTCACCAGTCTGTTCTGTTATAGCTTCTTAGGTTATGTTACATCCTTTCATTTGTAGCCTCTTCATTCAGTTTCTGTAGCAGAACACATGAAATTGGGATGAAGTCCTCAAAGTACTCCACATGATAATTGTTTTGTCTTTGTAATAGCTTAACAAATAAATCTAGGTTTTCTATGTAAAAAAAAAAAAAAAAAAAAAAAAATTATTTCTGGTAATAACTCCTATGGGTAAGTACCCCAATTAAATATTTGTTAAAGAGAGGTAAGGTTTTCTATTGAGTGGGATCTTGATTACCTTGAGATCAAAATTTTGCCAATACTCTATCTCACCACTTGCCAAAGTGGTGAGATAGGATATTGACAAAAGTATTATAACTGATAAGGGCTCCAAGGACTATCACGGAGATAGTAAGATCAACCCCCCAGTTCAATCCAATATGGCAACTAATTTCACCTTTCAGTAACCCTAACCTCATTATATGCTCATTGTAATACATTAGAATACTAAATGACAGACCCAAAGCTTCCATGATCAGAAGTGGAAAGCCCATATGAAGACACAGCATGAGCCACAGTGCTCTTCCAAGAACTTTCCACCTCCATCCCAGAAAAATCCTGAATATTCCCCTCCCTTATGAAATGCCCTAACCCTCAATTAAATGAGCCTTGATAGAAGAAGTAAATCCCACTAGGGAGGGGCTGCTGTGTCTACAGAGTAGCCACTCTCTGTCTCACTGCTTCACTAATAAACTGTCTTTCACTTTAAACTCTATGCTGGCTTGTATGTGAATTATTTCTTGCACTAAGCCATGAACCCACAGTTGGTCTCAGACCGTCCAGTCTCCAGGCCCCTGGAATGCCTGCATCAATGGCACATAATGGGAAGACCTGTTTTGAACCCCTTCAATAGTAAACTAGTTGCTGCAGAGTAATCAATAAAAAAACTTTCATTCAACAAAGTTTATGGCCATTATATTATGGGAGAACAGAAAAAGTCCTACCAACAGAACCAAAAATTTTTAAAAATCCAAAGGATTGCTAATTAGATTGGATCAATTCTTAAATTTGAAAAGAGGAAACTGCAGCTGAAAACACCAGGATTAGCTGAGGGATTCAACCCAAGGGAGTTCCAGAAAGCTCCCAGTATAGTATCAACAAATACAAATTGCTGAAATGCAATTATTAAAGTGCTCATTAAAGAACTCTATTATGGACAGTTGTTGTCCTCCTCATGCCATAGAAACAGAAATGCTATTTATGAGATATAGATGACAGAGTAATGTGGTTCAATTTCCTTTTAGCAGAAGTTTTCAATCATAATGCCAAATTAGGATAAGATCCAGAAAGCTTTTACAGAGTACTAATTCTCAGATATCCCCAGATATCTGATTCAACTGGTCTTCACAAGACTCAGAAGTCAGTATTTTAAATAAAACTCCCCAGATAGAAGTATTAACGGCAAAACTGCACCAGATATTAAACCTCAACCCGTGAGTTCTGGCTAAGAAAGAATTCAGAGCCAAGACTCATATATAAACTAAATTTTTTTTTAGAAAGTTACAGAAGTAGAAGAAATGAACTGTAGAATAAGAGAGCCATTGGGACTGGGCTGACTCAGGAAACAAGTTACAAAGGTAAAAGAAGGGCCCTTGAAGCTTAGGAGAAAGAAAAAGAGAACATACCTAGGGGAACAAGTGGGGGAATGGTACAGGCATACTCAAGAGAGAAAGAGAAAGAAGCACCCTGCGTCCCTCTTCTTAAGGGCTTATATCTAAAGGTCTCAGGGGAGGATCTCAACAGAATAATCATCAGCTTTCTAGGTGTGTCTCCTCAGGGCCATGGTCTTTACTGAGTGGCTGGCACCAGGGCAAAGGATCATTACTCAACCCACCTGGTCCTGATGTCAAATGTTTCAGAGTGAGTGAATAAATGAATGAGGATTAGACTGCCTTTGGAAAAAATAACTGAGGCCTAGATGTTATCTCTAGTTTGACCAAAACTCTCTCTCTCTAAGGCATTGTTCTTAAAATTGTTTGATGCTGGTTAGAACCTCTTTGTCTTGAGGGCTTAATTCTTAAGGGAGTGGTCCTGCAAGGGCTTGTATGGGAGCCCCATGAGGCTGTCTTTCAGATGCTTAGTCCCTCTTCTAAGGGGGTCTACCTCATGACTAACAACATGTCAGGAGAGGAAAGGTCAAGAGGTCTAAACCACTTGGCCAGCAATATGCTAGGGGAGGAAAGGTCACCCTGGTGGTTGGGTCCTACAATACTTGTTTCCCAGTTTTGCCCAGAGCTAGGTACCCGGGGCTTTCTACCCAGATGACCTTCTGTACTTGACCTATTTTTCCTCTTCTGCTCAGGTCTAACTGCTCACCATGTCAGGAGATTTTTATACTTTGATCACTGGTGAATCTCTAACATCAAGAACAGTTCTAACACATAGTAGGAATCAATGTTTCAGAGTGAGTGAATAAATGAATGAGAATTACACTGCCTTTAGAAAAAATATCAGTAACTAGATAGTTGTGTATAATTGAAAGATAAGTTCACAGTTCTGAAAAAAATGAATGATCCTAGAATTTCATACACAATTAAATTATCAATAAAATGTGAAGAAAAGTAAGCATGCTTTGTAATATGTATGCAAAATTTATTACCAAAACAAAGTATATAACAACATGTCTCAAATACATACTATAAGAAAATAGAATTCCAAGATGTAGAGCACTGGTTATAAAAAATAGTATTTGACTATAACACAGACATAGTAAATACAATTTTATTTAATTAAAAGAGAACACAGTAGACCTTGTTATCACTGCTGCATGAAATTTTATCATCATATTTCCTTTATTTGATCTCTAATACTATTGATTTAATAGTGAACATCTTTATAAATAAATTTTAAATGTTATTTATGCTTTCAGTTCTTCAGTTCTTTAATTAAATCAGGTCATACATTTTTTTTAAAAAATTACCAATTAAAGTATAATTGCTAATAACTGATGTAATAAAAAATATATTTGTTTTTTTCCCCTAGATCTTGGTGCAGAGCTCCTAAAACCTTGGGAATCTCCTGAGTGATGGAGTGTGTCTTTTGTTATTCATAAGAAGACCCATTTGATCACCCTTAAGTTTGTGCTAATGAGGTGACTTCGGGTGGGGTCCTGGGTTAACCTCAGGATGCCTCTGGTCACTAACAGAAACCAAATGATCAGAGGTTAATTCTTTCAGCCCCACCCACCAGTCTCTAGGAAGAGAGATGAGAGGAGCTGAAGATTAACCTTTATGAAATAATTTTTAAAAATTTATTGTAGTAACATTGGTGAATAATATGTTGGTGTGTTTTTTCCTGTTGATTTTTAGAGAGAGAGGAAGGGAGAGAGAGAAATATCTCTGTGAGGGGAACATCAATCAGCTACCTCCTATATGCTCCCTAACAGGGATGGAGCCTGAAACCCAAGCATGTGCCTGTCAGGGAATCCAACCAGCAACTTTCCGGAGCATAGGATGAAGCCCAACCAACTGAGCTATACCAGCCAGGGCACTTAGGTTTAAGTGTATATTTCTATGATGCATAATCTGTATATTGCCTTGTGTGCCCACCACCCAAGTCAAATCCTCTTCCGTCACCATATATTTCACCCTCTTTACCCTTTACTACCCCCAATCCCACTTTCCTCTGGCAACCATCATACTGTTTTCTGTGTCTTGTTTGTTTATTTGTCATATTTGTTTATTTGTTGCTTTCAGTTTTATATCCCACATATGAGTGAAATCAAATGGTTCTTAACTTTTTCTGTACAACTTATTTTGCTTGGCTTGATGTCCTCAAGATCAATCCATGTTGTTCCAAATGGCAGTATTTCATCTTTTTTTATGGCTGAGTAATATCCCATTGTATATATGTATCACATCATCTTTATTCAATCATCTATTGAAGGACACTTTTTTTTTCCATATCTTGATCACCATGAATAATGTTGCAATGAAGATAAGGGTGCATATATCTTTGCAAATAAATGTTTTAAAATGTTTGGGGTAGATACCCAGAATAGGGGCTTCTGGGTCAAATGGTAACTCTATTTTTAATCTTTGGAGGATTCTCCATACTATTTTCCATAGTAGCTGTACTAGTTTACATTCCCACCAGTAGTGAATGAGGGTTCCTTTTTCTCCACAACCTCTCCAACACTTCTTACTTGTCTTGTTGATAATAGCCATTCTAACAGATATGAGGTGGTATCTCATTGTAGTTTTGATTTGCATTTCCCTAATAACTAGTGAATTGACCAGTTTTCATATATCTGTTGACCATTTGTGTATCTTCTTGGGAGAGGTGTCTGTTCATGTCCTCTGCTCATTTTTTAACTGAATTGTTTGTTTGGCGTTGAGTTGTATGAATTCTTTATATATTTTGAATATTACCCCCTTGTCGGAGCTAATGTTTACAAATATATCTTCTCCCATTCAGTTGGTTGTCTTTTTATTTTTTTCTTCTGTGCAGAAAGTTTTTAGTTTAATATAGTCCCATTCATTTATTTTTGCCTTTACTTTCCTTGTCTTTGGGGTCAAATTCACAAAATCTTCTCTAAGACCAAGGTCCATAAGCTTAGTACCTATATTTGCTTCTATGTAATTTACTGTTTTGGGTCTTATATGAACAGTAAGATTGGCTGAGCTTCCAAATCGATGAACACATTCACGTGACGGCAGTGTGGTGCACCTCAGTTCCATGGGGTAAAAGCTCTTGAGCTCAGGACCTTTCAAGCCTTTGTCCTCAAACCTCTTTATCTGGCTGTTCATTTGTGTCCTT